TCCATCCCTGGAGGGGTTGGAGGCCAGGCTGGATGGGGCCCTGGGCAGCCTGGGCTGCTGTGAAACGTGGGGAGGTTGGCAGCAGGGTGGGGTTGGAGCTCCGTCAGCCTGGAGTCCCTTCCAAGCCTGGCCATTCTGTGATTCTATGACGGCGCTGAGCACCGCCCGGCACACTGCGTTCACTGCTGCTTTCACCGTAAAACAAGAGCTCCATCCATCCCTACACAGAGCCGGATGGTTGATGTGAATATTGCAGCGCTGCTCTCTGGCACGAGAGCAATCCTGCTCAGAAACGCCCTCTGTCCCTCCGTGCAGACGTGGACTGAGGCACAAACAGAGCAATCCCAGCCCCCGCCCCATGCTGAGCTCCTCTCACCCCAGTGTCTGCGGTCACCAAAAGCAAAACAGCAAAAACAGCGCCCACATCCAGCAACAGCCGCCAGATCCCAGCCCTGCCCCACTGATCTGCGGCCTATGGGGCACTGAGGGGCAGCAGGGGGGGGAATGGGGGAGTGAGGGGGGAGAGGGCACAGAAAAGGGGAAAGGGAGGAGTGAAGGGGGAGAGGGAAAAGGAGTGGGGGGAGATGGGTGAAATGGGGGGTGGAGAGAGGAAGAAGAGGGGGAATGAGGGGGAAAGTGAGGGAGTGAGGAGGATAGAGAGGAGGGAGAGGGGTGAGGGGGAAACGGGAGGGGGAAATGGGGGAGTGAGGGGGGGAGAGGGAAAAGGAATGGGGGGGAAGATAGATGAAATGAGGGAGGAAAGGGGGAGGAAGAGGGAAGAGGAGGAAATGGGGGAGAGGGGATGGAGAAGGGGAAAAGGAAGAGTGAGGGGAGAAAGGGAGAAAAGGGGAAATGAGGGGGAAAATGAAGGAGTGAGGGGGGCAAAGAGGAGGGAGAGGGGGAAACGGGAGGGGAAAATGGGGGAGTGAGGGGAGAGAGGGGTGAAATGAGGGAGGGAGGGAGGGAGGGAGGGAGGGAGGGAGGGAGGGAAGAGGGAGAGGGAAGAGGGGAAACTGGGGTGAGAGGGGGAATGGAGAGCAAGGGTGGAAAAAGGGGAAATGGAGCGAGAGGGGATGGAGAAGGGAGGGGGGAGGGGGGGGGGGTGGGGGGGGGAGGGGGGGGGGCATGGGGGGAGCCGGCAGCCACAGCCCCGCAGGACGGGGTGGGAGACGAGCGGAGACGAGCGGCGGCGGGGAACGGCGCTGCCGGGCCGGGCCGCCCTCCCAACCCCCACAGCCCCCGGCTCACCTCGGCCGTAGCCCTGCGTGTGTTTGGCGAAGCTCCGCACCACCGCCTCCACCGCCTCCCGCAGCACCGCGGGCGGCCCCGAGCCGGGCGGGGGCGGGGCGGAGGCGGCGGGGCCCTGCAGGCCCAGCGGGGGCGGCGGCGGTGGCAGCCCCAGGCCCGGCCCCAGAGCGGCCGGAGGAGGCGGAGCGGCGGCGGCGGCGGCGGCGGGAGCCCCGGTGACCCCGGGCCGCAGGGAGCGCAGCGTTCCGCCCACGCCGGGCTGCAGCCGCTGCGCCCGCACCGACTCCATCGTCGCTCTGCGGGGCCGCCGCTGCCAATCAGAGCGCGCGGGGCCAATGGGGGTGGAGATCGCCGCGGGGAGGGGGAGGGGAGAGAGGGAGGTGTCGGCCAATGGGATACGCGGAGGGGCCCGAGGGGCGGGGCGGCGGGAGGGAGACCGATGGCAGCGCGGAGGTGCCGGGGGTGGGCGGGGACGAGGGAGGGAGCGGTCCAATCGGAGTCGGAGAATGTCGGGGGACTGTGATGGAGGGGGGAGGCTCTCGCCTTGCCAGCGCCAATCAGAAGTGAGGGACGCGGGAAGGAGGCGGGGCTTCAGGGACGGCGGCCAATTGCAGCGCGGCACTCGCGATAATGGCAAAGAGAATCAAAACGCGAAGCGGCCGAGGCGGGGGTGGGGACGAGAGGCAGAGAGGACGGGCATGAATCTGGCCAATCAGAGGGCTCCTCACCGGGATTGAGGCGGGAACTGTTACAATGGCCCAATCGCAGTCTATGTTTTGATTTTTAGGGGCGTGTCCCAGAGCATCCAGCCAATAGGAGTGAGAGAAACGGTCGGACTCAGAAATTTCAGGTTAAGCCAGTATCTTCGCGACAGCAGCAAAAAGTTCGTTCGTTATTGCGATCATGGGCGCACGCCCCCTATTGGCAAGGAGGAAATTGCGCACCGGAAGAAAAACAGCTTATATAACCTTGTATGCAGCTTATATAACGAGAGGGCAATAAGTTCGGTAACGGCCTACACCACGTAAATAACGGGAACTCCAAAAGAACGGAACTTCCACTGCAAAAACAAACAACCCACCCTCACAGGAGCCGCCTATGCAGCCTCCAGACACCAGGAGGCGCTCGTTTCTCTTTGACCCAAAGCGGCTTCCGGCACACCGCCGGAAGTGGCGGCGCGCCGCTCCCCGCAATCGGGAGCGCCATGGAGACGTGGGTGCGCTTCAGCGCGCAGAGCCAGGCCAAGGAGCGGCTCTTCAGGTGCGGGGCCGCCCGGCTTCCCCTCCGTGGGGGCGGCGGCCGCTCGGCGTCCCTCCCCGGGGCCCGAGCCCCGCCCGCCGTCCCCCCGCCCGGACCCGGTCCCCCTCCGGGCCCTGAGGCCGCGCTGTCTCCCGCAGGGCCGCGCAGTACGCGTGCACGTTGGCCGGGGACGCGCTGCGGAGGAACGGGGCGAGCCCCGCACTGCTGAGCAGCGTGAGGCGGCTGGAAGCGCACCTCAGCCTGGGCCGGAAGCGTGAGTGGGCCCGGGCCCAGTTCGGTTGGGGGGGGGGCTGCGTGCGCGTCCCCCCGCGGGCCGTTCTGATTTCCGCCCCCTCGTCCTGCAGTGCTGCGTCTCGGCAGCTCGGCCGACGCTCTGGAGGCGGCGAAGAGAGCGATCCACCTGTCCGACATGGTGCTGCGCTTCTGCCTCACCCTCAGCCACCTCAACAGGGCCATGTACTTTGCCTGCGACAACGTCCTGTGGGCGGGGAAGGCGGGGCTGGTGCCCGGCGTGGACCAGGAAAAGTGGGGGCAGAGATCCTTCAGGTGAGGGGGGAGGGGAGGCGGCCGGCTGAGCAGCGCTGAACGGGTGGCAGCAGGGACAGGGAGGAGATTGTCCCTGTCAGCTCTGCCCTTGTGAGGCCCCGTCTGCAGCACTGCGTCCAGGGCTGGGGGTTCCCATACAAGACAGGGAGCTGTGGGAGAGGAGCCAGAGGAGCTGGAGATGAGCAGGGGCTGCAGCAGCTCCCTGCAAAGCCAGGCTGAGGGAGCTGGGC